GTTCCCCAGCCCTCTGCAGCATAAAGCCCTCAGTGGAATTTCATACAAGACCTTAAGCCCAAAGAGACAAAAGAGCCTGAAAAAACATTATCTCAGCATCTCCAGTTCTTTTGCCTTTCAGTGTGTTTTTTTTTCAGGGGGAATTTTCTAAAGCTGACATTATCCAGCCCAAGCCCCCTCTTTTTGCCTGAAGCATGTAGTGGCAGGAGGCCTTGAGCTGCTACACAAACCATACCAACACTCCCCTCGGGATCACAGTCTTTTCCCTCTCCCATGCTTCACTGCAAGCAAACAATCTGGATCTTCAGCACTCTCATTTTAAGCTTTCCAAATCCCTTTTGGCTGTGTGCATTACATAACCAAAAAAAATGGCAGCTGACAACACACGAAGAAAGACGCTTGGGAGAGGAGCTGGAAGATGGTCGACACCAGCTACACTGGAATTCACCGGGCAACACTCAACTACAAACATAAAGCGCTTAACCTTCACAGCACTAAGCTCAAACCCTCGGAACAGTAATTAGGATGAGAGAATATATCCCAAATAATGGTATTTCCATTCTCCCACGAGACAAAGACCAAGTGCAAAAACATTTTCTCTTGACCTACAGTGTGTTGTTCCAGATGCACGAGCCAGATGGACCTCATGGCTGCTGCTTTAGTTAATCCTTTCCTGCTACTCCAAGAACTGACTGCTTTAAGACACTATTCAAAGCAGAAGACTACTCTTCCTCATGACAAAGTGTAAAACCCATCAAACACACAGCTTGCTGCAGTGGACACTCATGACTGAGCTATTAAAAAGCACAAGAAATTGCTTGCTCATTAAAGCTCTCTTTCCTCCAAGGGAAAGCCCTTCCTGTGCACCTTGGCAAAGGCAGGAACTAACCCCAAACGTGTAAGTAATGACAGCAGAACTCAGAAACCCTCTATGAATCCAGCTATCACCCAATCTCAGTGCCTGCCCTGGAATTTATTTTTATTACAAATAAGAGGCACTTCATGAACTATTTGAATGTGCCCAGAGGACTTTTCAAAGCAACACGAGCACATACGTGTCACAACAAGGCACAAATAATTGCGCTCCACCTGGGAAGGACCAAGGGAGCCTAAATGGAGCCCTTCAAATTCTGACGTATTTCTTTGCTGAAAGCTTGCAAGCATCTCCTCCTCATTGCATCATCCACCCAGAAAGCCTTTTGGGTAGTACAACAGGAATGGAAACACTGGGAAAGGAGACCACAGGGAAGGAGGAAACACTCCTTCTTGCCTTTGAACTTCTGATTAGCTTCCATTAGAAGACTCTGGTGTGTCTGAAGGCGTTTCCCATGGGCCAGGCTTTATCTGCATAGAGTCAAACACTGGTACTGAAGGCACAACAGACTCCTGGCTTCACTTCAAGCCAGTCAGTCTTTCACCCCTAAACCTTTTCATCTCAAGGGAACTGCCCTGGCAAGCTCACCAATATCTCCCTCAGCATGTTCAGAGGAGCAGGGATGACAGGAGTGCGTGGCAGATACCAGGCTTGCTGGCACCCTCTCCCACCTGCACTTATCTCCGCTCATTTTTAGAGAGCCTTTTGCTACACCAGCTCATTTACTGCCAAGTGAACTACCACAACACTCACCCAGGAAAAGACAAGAGCAGGACAAGCTGCTGGGGGACAGGGGCTTGTTCTGGGGTCACAGGTAGCTACAGAGAAGACTCTTATTCATTCTCTTGTTCTTATTTAAGCCAGTTAAAAAGAGGGTAAACCAGAACAGGGCACATAGACCCAGTTCAGAGCACATGGAAGGCTCTGCACTGAACAACAGCAGCAGGTTTGGATGTCCTGACAAAACCAGAAGACCCTTTGCTGCAAAGCCACAGCTGAGTTCAGACACAAAGAGCCCATCAGCAGCTCCAGGGCAGGCTGATGAAGTGTCAAAGCTCTCAGTCATTCCTAACTTAAAGCTTCTAAAAACATGGAAACTAGCATTCATGCAAATTACAGCCTGAACTAATCTGAATTAACTAAACACAACAAACTCATACTAAAAAATGCAAGATTCGATAACAAAATTAAGAGTCTTCACTGTAATCACAACAAAGCACATCAATCCTTTCCATTTTGTATTACTCAAATTAAAATGGCCAGCCAGACCAGCAGGTTTCCTGATGAACAAGCACACTCAGTACCATTCCCACTCCTCCCACCCAGTCAACAGGACTTCAGCAACCCCAGTATTTCTGTCAAGGCTGGAAGATCTCCCTCCACGCACATCCCAAGGCTGTTTAATTCAAACAGCCACAAACATGCTGCTAAAACAGCAGGGCCAAACTGAAAAGCTTTCTTCTCTATAGGTAAAATGGCAACCCAGTAGTATTCTTACTAAAGCATTTACCTGTCAGGAAATATAGATATGACATATTCTTTTATGACTTCAGAGAAAGGGTTCATGAAGATGAATATTTAATAAATGGCACTGCCAAGGGAAAAAAAACAACCCACCCTCATGGGCCAAAAAGTCAGGATCCTACAGCAGTTCATGCTTTGTTATCTTTATTACAGAAGTAATTCTATTAAAGCTTATTCTGTGCATCTAACAGTCCTTCCCACAGTACCTCAGCAATGCTAATAACTCTTCCTCTGAGGCTCTAAGAGGAAAAGAAACCCTGCTCCCTGGTTTACAAAACTTTACCCAGTTGCAAGCAGGCAGTTGCCCCAATCCTGTAAAGTCAGCCCCAAAAGAACGGCCAGATGGGTTAAAAAAACACCTCCAAGCTCAGACACCAATACAATGAAATCTGCAATACTCTTACCCCTTAGGCAGCTCACTACAGGAATCTGGAGCTCTCCTTTCATCTTTGCACCACAGCAAATAAGGTTTCTCTAGAGATCAAGCAAATCAGCTGAATGGGAGGCATTTGCCTTTTGTGTCCCCAGAGCAGGGCAGCGCTCAGCGAGCCCCATCCCCTGTGTCTCACTGGCACGTTGCATGTGCACATCTCACACACGGATTTCCACTGCAGATCCAGTGAGGGTCAGGCTGAAAGCAGCCTCCTGCATCACAAGGATGGTCACAAAATTCTCTGTTACAAAATGTACCAGGCCAGTGTACTGAGATCCCACTGTAGCTTATGTGAACCCAGCAAAGGCCAAGACATCTGCTTCAGCTAAACAAACCTGTTGTGAATACAGAAGGCATGTGAACTATCTGACCAAAAACCTGGCTCCAAAACCTGCATTCCTATAAATCCGCTGTGATCTCAGCAACACTCCAAATAGCCTCCATCCAACTGATAGGAAAGAGCTGTCTCATCAACCCAGCGAAAACCGAGCTCAAAAAGCAGCAGAGACAGCCAGCTGGGATATCACGCTGATATCCAACGTGAGAAGCCCTGCGCTGGCTGGTGCAGCCATAGCCTCAAACCTACATGGTTTGTCAGGTTTTCCAGTTCACCCTGAAATGAGCAACCCACCACCTCAGTCTGTGCCTTGACAGCACCCCTGGCTGTCACAAGCAGCGAGGCAGAAGCAGACACTGAGTTGCTGCTGCTGGCAGAGTGAGAGCATGGTGCTGTGCTCATCATTTTGCTCTGGATGAATTCTGGTATTCTTCAGCCACCCTCAAGGGGATTTGCTATCTCTTCCCAAGATGCTCCTTACAGACTAACTCAAACCATGTTCTGCTGGAGAAGATGCAGGAGAGAAGGGGGAGAAAATAAACCAACTTCAAATGCAAGAGAAATAAAAAATTATTCCAAACACCTTGCACCGTCACCGAGGCACTGGGCAAAACGCCAGCGCAGCCCTCCCTCCTCTCCCCCAGACAACGAGAATGTGAGAAGCCAGCTGAAATCTGGTGCCCCTGGGGAGAGCCGCGCTACAGGAATGTTAAATCGGCCGAGCTTTTAATCTAGGACGAAAAAAAACGCTGGCAAAACAGCACAGCAGCAACTGGCATCGGCGATGGGGAGGACGGTGCCTCTGCCAGGCTCTGCACCTTCCTCTCGGCAGAGCCCAACTTAATTCAACCACTTCTGGCCGACGAGCCGAGGCGCAGAGCGACCGGGAGGAATTCTCCCTGAATGGGGTTATTCAGAGGAGCCATAAAATCCGCCTGCGTTTGTGGGAAGCCGGATGCAGGCTGGGAAACTGGCCTGGCTACCTGGCCCTCCATTTTCACTGCCAACAGGTGATCCTGCCTCCCCACCCGCTTCCAGGTGACGAGAGAACCCTCTCCTGGTCGCAGCTCTCCAGCAAACCAAGTGCAACAGCCGCTTCTGCGCCCGACAGTGTTCTGACTGTCATTCTGTAAAAGTGCTTGTTTTTTAAGCAAGGGAGCAACCCCCGAGCGCGCCCGGCGCAGCGCCAGGAGCCCGGGCAGGCACAGACCCGGCGGTGCTCCCGACGAGCCGCCCGTGCGGAGACACCGGCCACGGCCCCGGGGCTCTGACCCACTGGGGTCCGGGCAGGACGGGGGGCTCCGGCCCAGGGCCGGGCCGGCTCAGTCCAGCCGAGCTCAGGGCGGACCCCCGTGCTCGGAGCCCGCAAAGCGCCCGGTCCCGGCGGGAGCTGGGACGGTGCGGGAAGGAGTTTCCCCCGCGGACAGCCCGGGACGGCGGGAGGCGGTCCGGGACCACCGCCCGCATGAGTTTGGCGACTAGGCTAAGCTCAGCTCGGCTCGGCTCGGCTCGGCTCGGCTCAGCTTGGCCCGGCTCGGCTCAGCTCAGCTAAGATCAGATCGGCTCGACCGAGCTCAGCCTGGCCCGTCTCGGCCCAGCCCCGCTCGGCTTGACTCGGCTCGGCTCGGCCCGGCTCAGCTCTGCCGTGCCGCCTCTCACCTGCGGCCGCGGCTCGCCCTGCCCAGCCCGGCCCTGCCCGGCCCGGCCCAACCCCGCGCCGCTCCGGCCCGGCCCGACCCCCCGCTCCGGGGGCGCCCCCCGGCCCAGCCCGGGCAGCAGCGGGGCCTCCCGGCCGCTCCCGCCGCTCAACAGGTGCGCGCGGCCGCACTCACCTCTCCGCCATGGCCGCTGTGCCAGCGAGCGGGGCAGGATGTGAAACCCGATCCCGGCCCCGCCCGGGGGCGGCGCGGCCCGGCCCGGCCCGGGACCCCCGGCCGCTCCCCGGGTCCCTCTGCCGGGGGCTGCCGCGCCGGGCCGGGGCGGGGCCGGGCGGGCCGGGCGGCAGCGGCGGGGCCGCGGTCCGAGGGCAGCCCCTGGCGGCGGCGGAGCCCGGCCGAGTCCCGGCCCGGGGAGTGGAAACAAGGAGTGGGGAGCGGAGCTGGGGCCTCAGTTTGGGAGCCGCTCAAGTGTTATTTGAGCTGCAGGTCAATGGCGACGGTCGGCGGTCGTGACCCGGTGTGTGAGGATACCCGCGGTCGGGGGACACCCTCTGCCCCCGCTCGGGCACCCTTGGGGAGCGGCGTTGGGGCGGCCCCAGGGCAGCCTGTGCTCGCTGCTGGATCGGGGACCGTGCCCCCCCGGCGCTGCCTCCCCCTGCCCGCGCCACTCGGGGCTTTACTGGCCCTGCTCTGCCCTCCGGTACTCACGGCACCCTCCAAGAGCGTAGATGGAAAGCGGCAGAACCAGCCTGGAGCATCGAGAGAAGAAAGCGTCTTTGCCTATGCTGGGTGCTGGGCTGTCCCTGCTTTCAGGTGAGAGAGTACCAAACCTTGGCTCAGTCCGAGTTGAAAGGCTGCCATGTTCTGGGTTCGCTCACTGTTCTTTTTTTTTTTGCCCCAGTAATTTTGTCTGGGCAGGTATTGTGGATTTTCTGTCTTCCTCTGTGTCCTGAGCACACAGTAGACTGGCCAGAGCTGTGTCCCCAGTACATGCACAGATCCACCAGCAAGGTACAAACAGTGTAGGTTCAGAGGCCTCAGGAACAAGCTCCTCGGCCAGCCTGAGGAGTCTGAATAAACAAGCCATGCACTAAAGGTCAGCCCTGCTGGATCAGCTTCTGTCAGCCACCAGTTTGGAGAATGTCACTTGGCAGGGTGGCACGGCAGAGCCCCTGCTATCTCAGTAACTGCTGCAATGTGGCACTGCTCCCAGGCTCCTATGCTTCCAGAATAGGAACAAACCCGTGTGGAGGCAAATCCTGGGAGCTGAGCTACCTGGATGCTTTAGACCTCTAACTGCGGGGCAAAAATTGACAGATATTTGTTGGATTTTGCCACTAACAGAGTGATTTTTGTCTCGTTTCACACCATGCAGCAAATGTCTGCTACAATCAGAAATGAGTCTGTTCAATTTACCAATGACCCTGGGCAAGCCCACGGCCGGGGTCCCACACAGAGCGACACCGCACTCGCTTGCAGACGGCATTTTGGCACTTCTGAAAACTTGAGGGTAACTTAATCTGAAGACATTCCCGTGCAAGTCCCACTGCACTTTTAAACAACAAATAGAGAGACAGTGAGATCATGGCCGCTGCGCTCGGGGCTGCTCTCACAGCTGCACTCGCTTACGGGGGGTCCCTGAGCGGGGCCAGCAGGGGCTGGGAAGCTGCTGGACGTACCCAAAGCTGCTGGACGTACCCAAAGCTGCTGGACGTACCCAAAGCTGCTGGACGTACTCGAGGTGCTGCGGGACAGCAGGCAGGGCAGGCTGAGTTCTGTGGGGCTGCAAAGCTCAGGGACTGAGGAGCAGGCTGGCAGGAGAGGAAGGGGGAGAGTTAAACCAGGTCTGTGTCGGAAACAAAAATTTGCTGATCTGGCTCTGCTGTGGTCAGATTGGCAGCTGTCCTTGTGGAGGTGCAGAGATTACTTGCCTTTGCCAATACAGGCCGTACCTGTCCTCAGGGAAACGGCGATACTGGGAAGGTGCTCACGAGCAGCCTGACAATCTCTGTTCAAGAGCTCCTTCAGGTACAGATCTGGTGTGTAAGAACTTCAACAGCCTGATTGACATCACTGTGCTAGCAAGAGACTTGGGACAGACTGAAAATAAGAGCTGGGGACATGGGAGATTGCAGGAGCCCCAGCTTCAGGGGACCCCCAAAGTGAGGGACCTGACACAGTAAGTGTAAAGTTGGCTGCAAGAAGGGCCAGACAAGTAGTATTTTTTTTTCTGTGATGTTCTCATTTTATTTTGCATATTTCAGGGGTTGATGATAGAGGGTAGGCTGTTTTCCACCTACACCTCCAGCAGCCTCGCTGGAGAGAACCTGAACGTCATTGCTTGGCTGCTGCAGCTCAGTCTGTGGGGATGTTATTCTGCATGGAGATCCCGTCTCTGCTGAGGCCACAGAAGGTAAGGATGCAGAGGACAGGCTGGGATGACATGCCAGGTCAGTGCAGCTCGTGGGCTGGCAGCTCTGTGCTGACCTGCACAAAGTCACGCAGCAGCAGGGCATCAAAATGCAGAGCAAGGAAACCACCACAAAGTCAGAACCTCTCCACTGGAGTAGGGTCACACACCTGCTGACATCACAGACACTCCTGGGAGCAGAGATCCCCACTGCTGCAACAGGAAAGCTGGGTGAAAGGGGGTTCAATTGCCAGGCACGACAGACAGCTCTGAGACTGTGACTTGCACACAGGAGGGAAGCTGCCTGAGCAGAGTCCACCTCTTCAGGAGAACCAGGGAGTGCCAGTGAACATGAGCACAGTCAACACCAGTGACTCAGGGAGGGGAGAAAAATCCCAAAGGGGAACAACGAAGCAGCTAAGGGAAAAGCCTCTTTTGTGGGAACTTTGCAGTGACTTTTTCAGAGACTTTCACAGTTCAAGCAGTCATGGGCTGAGGAAAACTTCTGCTATTGGTACCTGGTGCAGTAGCACAAGGAGGTTCTCCTCCAGAAATACAAGTGGGTCACTCTGTGACATGTACATGGGAGATCAAGCCCACCAGTCAGAATGCCTGTTATCAATACACCAAAAGGGTGTACACCAGGAGGTGAATATGAAGTGTCTGAACAGCCTTTGAGAGCATGGCAAAGACATTGCACTGTCTGTGAGAGCAGAGGGCCCTTTTGCTAATAAAAAAACCATATTGCCTGCAAGAGGAAACAGCCTTCATGAATTGTGAGGCTGTGAACACCAGATCCCTGTAAGATGAGTTAAATATGATCAATGTTTCCAGGCCAAGGTATCCCCTTGCTGCCTGTTCTGGGCTGAAGGCTTTTTCCTACAACTGTCGCTGCAGAACTGCAAAAGGAGCCAGCTCTCTGAGATCATGCTGGAATTGTTCCTCAGATGCTGCTCCCAAGTAGAAGAAACTGTATTTGGAGTTGTACACCCTTTTGTGAAGCTGCTCAGCTGATGGACGTTCGTTCTTGGGCACACACTCCACGTCAGGAGATGGCAGGTAGAGGACCTGGCACAAGGGGTCTTTTTCATCTGAAGGTGTGGAAGAACCAGTGATGCTACAGCTATGGAGAGCTCAGGATTGCACTGCTGCTGCCCTGCCCACTTGTCCCAGGCTGAGGGATGTTTGATGCCCAGGCAGGTGTGCCCCAGCTGTGAGCACAGCCAGCATATTGCCCCTGAGGTGTGGGCCAGCAGGCACTGCCCTCGCTCTGCCCCCGTTAACAAACTGGGCTGCACAGCCTGGAATCAGCCCAGCCCAGCCCCCCAGTGACTGTCTCCAGGTACAGCGAGGGGAGTCAGGTATGACTGGGTGGCCAGGTGTGGCTGGGCTTACAGTCAGCACTGCCCTGGTGCAGCTGCAGCCCTGGATCCACCTTCCAGGGCACCAGCGATGGCAGGAGGATGAGCTGGGAGATGCTTCATTGGGAGCTCCTGGCACCACTTGGGAGCTGCATTTGAGCTCAGGTCCTCAACCTGGACCTCACCTGAGCTACGTTCTGGTGAAGCTTGTGCCAGGCCCACCCACTGGGTCAGCAGGCACTTGATCCTGCTGACCCTGGTTACTGTCACCAAACCTGCTCTGCCCCTCTTGCACGGTGAGTATGGCACCGTTGGGCTGTCACCTTGTGTCCAGCTTGCCTGTCACCTCCTCCTGCCTCCAACACCACAACCCCCATGGCTGGGAGGGGGGGCAGGAGCAGCTCTGTGCACTCTTGTAGTGAAGGAGCCAATCATACCAGAAACTGTTGTGCTCCATGAATGTCCTGTGTTAAACAGGTCAAACTACTGCCCAGATACTCCTGCGAGTGCCGACACGCGGGCAAGGTTTCTCGATGTGGGGAGCTCTTTGTTGCAACAGGAAATAAGATAAAAGTGCTGGGCTGGCTGGGGTGCTGGGTTCACTCAGATGGTTGATGGAATCTCTGTCCTTGGAGATTTTCAGGGTTTGGCTACGCAAAGCATGATTGACCTGATCTAGTGCTGGTGATGGTCTCACTTCAAGGAAGAGCTTGGGCTAATGCCCACTAAAGGTCCCTTCTGTAACTCCATGTCTGGGAGGTGGAGGTTTGAGCTGGGCAGACATACGTGGTGAATTCTCCAGTATTTCAGCAAAGACATCTTGTATCCAAGGTCTCAGACCAGGCTGACCCAGGTGGAGGAGTTGCTGGCTGAGACTCTCTGGATTGTGTGCTGTGAGAGTCCTCTCTGACAAACGGCCTTAGCAAGTATGAGGCAAAGAAAAAACCTCCCTGTTCTTCCATAACCTTGTCTGTTTTGTGAAGCTGACTGAAGATACCTGGTTTTAAGCAGCAACCAGCAGGTTTTTTTTATGGTGGGCACGATGTAAATTTATATAACCAGCCAGGTGTTCTGCAGTGGGGCTTTTTAAAAATCATCCTGTCCTAATTTTTTCTGCCCTGCCACCTTCAGCTCCCGCTCCTGCGGGGTGAGCAGCCGTGGTATCGCGTTACTGCTTGGCAGTGGCAGCAGCTGGCGGGAACCCAACCGGAGCAGCGTGGGACAAGGAAACAGATGGAGCAGCAAATGCTCTTTGTTTCCTTTTCTGCTCCCTAAAACAGATTGTGACTAAAAACGTACAGGAGAGGCTTTTGCCATCTTCCCTGCTATTGGGGCTCCCTGGCTGCAGCCAAAGCCGTGGCGTTGCCTGGTAGGGGTTACCCCTCCCTGCCACACAGCCGAGCTGTGCCCTTCTGGAGGAGAGCTGCAAAGAGGGGAAGGGCAGCAGGAACGATGGGTACCAGCCCTTGGAGGGGAGAGAAGGGTGCAGTGGGTGAGAGGG